TTTTGGCTTGCCTCTTCCACAAGTTCAATTCCGTACACGGTTTTCGTTTGACCCTATGCATTAGCACTATCTACCCATCGAGCCTAGTCCTTGCACCTGACTTCCCTACAACAGTCGCACCAGTGAGTCTATTTGATCTCATGTTAGACCATATTTTCGATACAAAACTTGCAATTTACTTCTACTTTGAATTACCCCATCTCCATCTACATTTTTGCTTGTTGTGACTCGGGTCATTTACTCAACCGCCCAAGGTCACACACGGCCAACAATTGTTTTCACCCTTAGTACATGTCAGCCGAGTTCATCTTTGAACTAGTCGGACCTCATGCCCATTGTCCTAGTTTTTATTTGGTCCCCGCAATTGCGATGAATTTTCATTTGATAAACATGCCTCGTACCTCCCCCCGGTTGTGCTGTTGCCGGCGGTGATGTAGACAATCCATATTGATAGGTTTAAACAGTTGTGCGGAGTCTGAACTCCAAAAATTTGACGTATGAGGCAACTGTTTGACCGCTGCTCCCAACAGGGCACAGGTGAACGGGTTCAAGTTTCAACCTCGTGATTCTTTGTTTAACTTCTAGATAAAGAAATCAGTAGGTATTCGGTTTTTTCCGATCCACAGACGCACCCGTCAGTAATTCAAGTGTGGACAAATTTTGGTCATTTGTATGAAGAGTTTAACACATAAATTCATTTTTAACCATGCTTCTGTGTGGGTTTGAAATTGACAAAAAACTAGTTGCAACCCTTTAGCCAAATACACTCATTTACAAACTAATTTGGTTTTGCGAAAGGCTCACGGGGAACCAAGCTGCTATGACATACGTAAGCAACCATTATCGTCGGTGGTTGCTGAACTGATTGGCTGCTGGAGCGTCTTTTTGACCTTGAATCTAGATTGTACGTTCAGTATTGGGTGAACACTCATCACCGTAGGCCGTAATTCTATGGCATGCCTAAACAGTCATCATTGTCGGTCGTTGCAGGATCGTCCAATCAGTAGCTGAGTTCTCCTGCCCTGATGGCTACTCTACCACAATGTTGGTGAAGTTTGAGGGTTTAAGCCATTTTCGAGCATTCTGAGATTATTTTCAGGAATTTAACATTCCTGACAACTTGATAATTCAAACCTAAGGAAGGACTTGACACCACTCACGTTCACCATAGATCGCAGTTCTCAAAAAAAACCCAAGTCCAATGATTTGGAAATCCTAAACCATAGAAAAACTAGTTCTGTTTATTGACCAGAAAGTTGAGCAGCTGACTGGATAAACAATTAGTAGTCATTCGACCTTGGTCACAATCACACTGTATATGTTCGAGATATATCGGAGTCAAAGTGCATATAATGTTTGCTATGTAAAGAGTGTTTCATCGTCAATGTGGATTGCTGAGTTGCAGCCTTTGAACCACGACACGCTTGTGGTAATTTTAAACGCACGTCGCACTAAACTGGAATACTGTTTGGAACAAACCTTTCCGCAAGCTAAGATTCAACTGATAAGTGAACAGTATCTGAACTCCTCGGGCAAGTAAACTAGATGCCCCACATTCATTGGAGATGAGGTCGGAGTTATCCTACATTTCTTTCAGACTAAGTGATTCAGCGAATGAATAAAATGAGAGGAATTCATGTATAGCTTTGTAATGTACTACTCATAAGGTTGCTGAAAATCCGTCGACAGAGGAAAACATCCTTGTCCGCCATGCGAATGCTCAACTTACTTGGACTGGGGGATTGGGAGCTGAGCATCACATTGATTCCTGAGAACATCGGGGCAGAAGGACGACGAGAGTGACGTAAGTCCAGCTACGACCCAGTACTAAGCTAAGAGTGGTGATATGCGTTTGCGTTTGGACGAGCTTCGCAACGGTGTATACTGCTGATGAGAAATGCGAGTAATATATTTTCTTGTGACTCCTGCTTGAGTTGATTGGGAAGTGGGATTTATCACGGAATTCGTGGAATCGCTTCGTAACATTTGTTTACATTTGAGTGGCAGTCAATGGATATCCAGGAAATTTCAGGAAGACGCGTTCCAAAAGAAGACGCATATACGGTTTTTATAAACAAGATGCATATGAGAATTTTTCTTCCTTGTCCAATAGTCTGTAACTGCATAGTTGGTGTTTGCTGAAAAGTAAATCCGTACCAGATGCGGTCTTCCTTTCAACAGTAGTATATTACGTGTGTCTCAATCGGTAGTATGCCACAGCGATTGTCCAAAAGCTAGTAAACGAAATCATATATTTTTTCAATTTGCATTTTCAGACAAAGGGTCATAACGCTTCATTGAGTGTCCCGTCTACCTAGTGGTCATTTCAGCGATACCCCTGGATCATGAAACAAGTTTAAAATGGATTTATAATACTCTTATGAAAGTTCGCAACAAGTTCTTCATTTATTTGGCCACAATTAATATACGGAAAAGTTTAAATAAAAATTCTGGGGTATTATGAAAGGTGAGAAAATAATTATAAGTAAATCAATTAATTTTGATTTTGATTTTAATTTATTTTATTTAATTGAAAAGCAAATAATTAATTATACAAATTAATTAAAAATAATTTAAAAATGTTTTATTGACGTCGACCCCGGCAAAGTGGTTTTCCTACACAAAAACAAACCTGTGCAAAACAAAAATTGTACTTACCGCAGAAAAATGAATTATTAACACCGTTTTGGCCCTTTGATTTTGACTGCTTCAACCATTACAGATCCACCAACATCCTCTAAGTTTGAGACACATTTAAAAAATTATCATGCCAAAACACTAATCGTCTAGAACAAAAAATTCCTTACTATATTAACTTCCCGAATGTTCTGAACACACGAAAGACACCTTCTAGTTTAAGTGGCGCTCTCCGATCATCATCCGAACCTACACTCCGGCCGGTCATTTAGATATTGTAGCTGAAAATTAGCAAAGAGGTGGAATTTGGCGGGACCACAACGAAATATTTCTTAATTGCTGTCTAGAATTTGTCACAAATTACAACTTTAACTAAGGCGAATCAGCCAACAGCCGATATGTGTATCCACAGTCCAGGTGTTCCTTCCCACTCGAGGCAAATCACCATGATTTGTGTCACGGTGTTCAAGTAGCGAATGTTTTTTTTCAACGAACAGTGGAGTGGCTGAATTCGACTGAATCTCACAGACTACCACTCGTTTCTCATATTTGGAATGCAATTTTGAGAGGCTTCGTTTGATTGGATGATTGAATGTTACGAGTGATGCGTGACCAGGTCCCACTGACTGGTAGGTTTTTAGTATTCCATGAGCAATATGGTGTCATGCGAATCCTACCCCCGTCCAGGTGGACCGAGAGAATCGTCGCATAATATCGGTCATGCTTTGTAGACTATCTTCAACGCAAAACCTGCGGCGCGATCAAAAAACTTAGCGTCCAAAACCTTAGCGTGAGAAAGCCACGTAAAATACATAATTCATGTCAATCTGTTACTTGTATCTCATAGATGTCGGGGTAGTAGTGACTTCCTCACAAACGAATCAGGCAATTATTTCAGGAGGACAGAGAGCTTTAGAAATCAACTTCAAACAGCTAATAAAGCATGGCAAAGTATTGGATCCTCATAAACAAGAGATGGTAAGTTTCTTTCTTCGTACTGTGGGAAGAGATCAGCTATTTTCAATAGGTAATTAACGCTGACCTATACGGAAAAGCCTAGAAGCATCTTGCAGCTATTTTATCCCCACTGGGAAGCACCAGCAATGCTCATCGTGGAAAAAGCTACACTGAGCTTCGAAAATCCGCGACCTTCCAACTGGTAGTCGCAGGTAAACTGTTTAGCCACGAGCGATTTATCAGCGGAGTGATTAACTTGCGCTGAGTCTTCTCCTGACGTCTTCCCATATGGAAGGTTCACAGCTCACAAACAATCCACGCAATTACATCAGAAGGACAGGGAGTTCTGGAAATCAACTTGAAACAGCGACCAAAACATGGCAAAGTATTGAATTATCATAAATAAGAGATGGTAAGTTTACTTCGTCGTACTCTGGGAAGAAATCGGGTATTTTTAATAGGTAAATAATGCTGACCTATGCGGGAAAGCCTAGAAGCATCTTGCAGCTATTTTATCCCCACTGGGAAGCACCAGCAATGCTCATCGTGGAAAAAGCTACACTGAGCTTCGAAAATCCGCGACCTTCCAACTGGTAGTCGCAGGTAAACTGTTTAGCCACGAGCGATTTATCAGCGGAGTGATTAACTTGCGCTGAGTCTTCTCCTGACGTCTTCCCATATGGAAGGTTCACACGCCGTGGATTTGTTCTTCCCTCCATGCTACTTGCCGATTTTTGACAGTGCAACCGGTTCTGGAAATTCGCAATCGAGAATGGCTTGAGCGAGTGAAGTCGGTCTTTGCCAAAAAGGCAGGAAGCATGGTGTAGGTGTGTATGGATGGATCCACAGCGGCCTGTGGAAAGTGGGTGGACAAGCGCCAACGAAAAATCTGAAATGAACCACGTGGTCACAGTTGCCATGGCAACACAGGACGTCTAGCTGCACAATTATTCATACTAAGTTAGACGGGTTGGGGTAGACAGTGAGATACCTTAGGTACCTCAGTTCACTGAGCAGTGCAAGTTTGACCAGTAGACAAAGGGGGAGTTCAGCTTTTGACGTCAATTTACACAGAGAAATTGTGAATCACGTGTTACACTTGAACATTTATGTCTCGACTGTGAAAAAGTGGGTGCCACCATGCCCGTGCTTGCACATAGGGTACGTTCGGATTTATAGAATGCACGCTCACATCACTTGACAATTTTGAGACTGTGCGACTGACTGCTCATATACATCACATCTGACCAGACGTCGCAGTCCGACACGCACCACAATTTGCACTTCAATTCAGGTAGACAGTTGACCAGCCAATCATCTGCGCTGCAGTCGAAAGTTTTTGTCACGTGAGAACTGACTACTGTGTTTGATTGGTTACGAGACAGTGCGACATGTGGTGTACTGAATAGCATCTGAAAAGGGATTAGAGCATAAATGGCCACAGGAATGCGGACCAGGATGAAATGAGAAAACTTGACAAGTTCCTGACAAACAGTCTTGCTCGGAGCAGATGAAATCCTTCATCAGTGTTCGCCAGTGAAGATACCACATTTAAGTAAGTTGGTAAGGTACACGTGTATTTATCAGGTCATCGACTGATGATCCAAGTACTCGGTTTGAATTGACGGTTTTTTTCCTAATTCGATACACTATAGCTGTAAATTATGTGTTGCTGATACCTTATTCCACACAGTGTGCGTCGTCCTTGCCCAGTTATCGTATTACGACTTATTAGTTATATTGTAGTGTCCTGATGTATGCCAAAGCATCCATAAATTTCCTTCAACATTCAGAAACCGTTCACTAACTGAAATCGTTCATCTCTGAATTAATCTGAACTGAGTCGATCTTCCCGGTGCAAAAGTCAGTTAGGAAGACCCTGGATACCTGTTGAATATAGATTTACTATCTGTAAGTTGAGTAAATTCCACGGGTGAATTACTTCATGAACGTTTTTATGGTCGTCGTATTTAAACACACCTCAAATGCTATCGGACCTGATTTCGGACGATGCGTAAAAAAGTAATTCGAACCAACTCGTATGGGTTTCTGTTCAGGCTTCATTCAAGACTGTGGGCAGGCCAAAACTTTAGTGTTCTTTGGAACGAAATACGTTCAGGTGGATTTAGCTGTATGCAAAGCTAACTTGAAGCGTCATCGGTCACCGTTAGTTTCTGGGAGCAAACGAGGGCGAAATGTATCTGCCCTGTACTTTTCACTCAAAACTATCCACTGAGTTCTCCACTAGAAGAATCCTGCATAGCAGGAGATCACAAATCACTTGTGCGCCACGCGACAAGATCAACTTCGAAATACCCCCGATGTCTCGTTGCCATTGTAGATTGATTCACACAACACAGCGACCTTATCCAGGCTAATCCGCTCACCATTAATTAGTTCCGGTAGCCGAACACCTTAGATCTATGTAATGGCTAAGACTCCTTGACAAATCACGTCTAACTTTTACGCTTTAGGACACCTCAGTTTTGATCATTTAGGTTTCAAAATTTATTAGGTTTGCAGCATGTCAATGTCTTTGAACCTCTTCTCACCAAAGGCACACATTGTAGGGGTTATCGTCTTTGAAACCGGAAGAAAACCGGTATTGAATTAATCGACTGCTGTCCGATTGTTCACGCTCAGTAGTTGGGTGAACATGAAGAGTGATGGATGATGTGAACTTAGCAGCTTGGTTGTCCTTAGGAAGTTCTGCAACTCGGTGAACTAGAGTAGGAGTCAATGCGAATTAAAAAGTGTGATCTTCAGTTAATTCAGCCTGGATCGTATTGAACAACCTGTGGGGAACTACCCGTAGGGATACAACTGGCCAAAGAATTAACCTACTGCCGGAATCTGACGTTTGTTCTTATTGTCACGCATGATTTATGGGAAATACAAAGCTATGTTAAATCGGAAAAATGACCTTATTTGTCGCAACATATTGTTTAGATGCACGCACTACTCATTAGGTTGCTGAAAACCCCACGACGGTCTTCCTGGGGCTGTTCCGGTAGGCGCATTGTCCGAGTTTTCGTTCAGTGTTCCTCTTGAACCGACAAATACACCCACCGGAATTTGGTTTTGATGGGGGGCTTACCTGGAGTCTGGATGAATCCCTTCTCTGAGAACATCATAAATGATAGGTTTGGCTGGGTTCCATCACCCGTCAAGACCAAGTCTGCATGCAGACGAATGTATAAGTCAACTCCATTTCTCATCGAGGAGAAAAGAGTAAACACAAGCTGTCCAACGTTGATATACGCTTGGTGCTCATTCGCATGTTCCTACAGGAAACCGCTGTTGAAGCTGACCCAATTTCTTTCATCATAGTAATTAGCTAAAAGCCTTCTGCGACCTTGCTTCTCGGAACGTTTAAATAACAGTTCGTAAACTACATAAAAGTTGTACCAATCAACTGTCGATTAGTGAGCTTCACAGTGACCTTGAGTAAAGGAAAAACACATGCGGTAGGTCTTAGCCTACAATTTTGGGGACAGGAGATTGTGTCATTAAGACCGACACCATACATCTGCCAAAAATGTTTGGACTGTGTGAGGTTCAACCAAAAATTATGTTGGTATGCAGTCGTCTTCTGATATCGCTATGACCCCAACCGAAAAGCAATGGCCAAAACTCCATCCACCTGGTCGGGTTGCAGATCGTCGAAAGCGATTTATGTCCTAGAGTAAACAACTTCGTTACTAGTTTCCAAGACCGGATGTTAGAAAAGTAAAAGTCTCAAGAGATGTAACAGGAATCATGCGAACGCTACATTTCTGCCGCCTCGCCGAAAACCGATAGAATTCACCTTGTCTTCATCCCTTCATGAAGTATTATCCAGGAGGGAATCTGGTGAAGGTTTGCTCAACTCTCTTGTACCAGCAAAGGGAACCACCACTAGTGGGCATATTCTGAAGGTGGTTGAACCCGGCGAGGGCGATAGCAAGGACTAGTCACATTCTCCACGATGTTAGAGCATGCTTGTCACCGCGTTTCAAAGCAATTTTCTAACCGTGTCAAATGACGGGTTTCCAGTCAGAAAGCTGGATACACGCCGTAGTCAATGCAAGGCGAATGCCTAGCACTATCCTTGGAGACGAGTATTGACAGAACTCTCTTGAACATTCAGCCAACCCGACTGTCGACCATCCAGCGATCATTTGACTGATCGTTTCAAAATAGTTTGCGGTGTGCTTTCTGGTTTGAACATACTTAAGGGGGAATCACATATCGAACTAATCCAAAGTGAGGCAAATCACAGCATCGTCTTTTATTGAGTACGAATGCGATAACCGTTGGAGTAACTACTGAGCTGAGTAGGTGCTCAACTGAGTAGCCACTGTTCTAACCACCAGTATATTGTAAGGCTCGTTTAAGTGAACAAGTGCCGTTGAAGCAATCTGAGACCAAAAATCCTCTTAAAGTCAAGGTCATCTATTCAAACCAAGGCTACACCATTTCTCGAAAATCAATGCATATAACCTGCCACATGAATAAAGTGGATTGAACCCATTTACCGTAGACTGTGTCTGTCGAGCGCCATGCTAAGATGCGGGCCCTGAAAGAAGACTGCAGTTGGAAGGTTCAGCCACAGACCGCGTTGTGTCGGGACGATGGAATGATTAATAAGCTGGACACGTTCTGGTGTGGTTTGTTCAGCTGTAGCTCCCTTTTGGTGCCTAACTGCCATGTCAACCGAAGGTTACACGAGGGGTAGGATACTGCCAGGTTGCCCAAGCCTAGATAGGATGAGTCGAGAGTCAGAGGTCGGGTTCGAACCATGGACCTTCCGGTCAGCAAATTCGCGCTCTAACCACTTATCCACCTCCCACCCATTCTTGTGTTCTTGAGCGCCGTTCACCAAGAAGTACGAGCCGTATGGAGAGACAGACGGACTTCGGTGAACTCTCCAAATTAAGTAACCTATCTGATGTGTTCTGATCGCCCTAGAACGATGCGATATGCTAATTAGTTGCCATTCTGTTTGCATTTTTAGCCAAAGGGTTTACTCATGCCCAGTGAGTCAGCGGAGTGAGGCGGAGGTGGACTAAACCTAATTTGCAATTATTTAATGCGGGGTAACAAAAAAAATAAGTGTCTTATTTGTCTTTCAGTAAAGGTGTTTTGGATCATGCAAATGAATACCAGAACTCGGATCACGAAAGTTCGGTGTGAATGACAGAGAAGGGACAGCGGTTTCGTTTAGCGGAAAATTTATGGCTCCGAGTGGACCCTGTAATTCACGTTCGTACGTAGAACAGAACGTTTCTATTCAAAGCTGATTGTAGCATGGGAGTCAAGCGAATGCGAAAACTGTTAGCCACATCCACGTGGATCACATGCCAGCGCCAATCGAGGAACCAACTACTCCAAGATTTCAGTGATATAATCCAAAATTAATTTCGCTTCGAGGCCATAGTGAATCGCGCGATGAGATAAAAAACACCGTGAATTTATGCAAAACATATCGCGGCGTTTAGAGTGTAATTTAACGCGGTTGACGTAGACAAACGAAGAGCTGCATAATGTCTAATGATCGACGGAAAAAAACACAAAAGGGTTGTTCTCACACAAACACGGTAACACAATCGCGTGTTTCTGTCAGAGCACAGCCAGAACAGGCAGCGATTAATCATTTAGCTGTAGCACCCTTTCGGTGCCTAGCTGCCATGCCACACGAAGGAGGCACGAGGGCTGGGATACTGCCAGGTTGCCCAAGCCTAGACAGGGAAAATCGAGAGGCAGAGGTCGGGTTCGAACCGTGGACCTTCCGGTCGGTAAATTCGTGCTCTAACCACTTGGTCCATCTCGCCCCCAGGCAGGGATTGGTCATCTCCAAACAAGTTACCAGAATACCCTAGAGTGTATTATCTGTTTTTAAATATTGATCAAGCCAGACGTTTAAGACATGCGTATCTCTTGAGACCACCGGTTGACGGACGGTGAGTTGCCGGAAAAACCGTGTAGGCACGCAACCTTGATACGAGTGGAATCCTGTCGTTCAATAGATCCGTAGAATTTTTAAATCAAATCTAAACTAAGAGGGTTATTTTTGAACGCATCGCAACGCCTCATCCTCTTTGCAGGGAAAACAGCTCTAACGGTGTTTCTTCGACAATGTCTACTCCATAACACAATTGATTTTTGGAGTCCTGTCATTCGATCAATTTGTCTATCAGTTTTGTCATCTGAATCCATTTATTGTACACCTGTACAGGTTGATCTACCCATGACGCATTAGCGCATGTGCGGCATTATTTGGGATAGTATCGGAACTAAAATATGTTTTGTCTGATGCATACCTGGACTAGATTTGGCGTCACAGTAGTGACGACTCTTTAGATTCGAGGACACTTTTGTCCTTAGTTCCCGAGACACGCAGATTTTCAGCGTAAATAGCAAGGCTGCTATTACGTATGTTGACAAGCCTCTTCGTAGATATGATATAAAGAGGTAAAATATAACAAAGAATGTTAACCGTTCCATTATGCAGGACAGACATTGTTCTCGTAATCGGAAAGCATTGGGATCGCCAGATTAGAGTCTTCATCTGAG